TTAGTTTTTCACCAGTAGCCGTGTTTAAGTCTGTACATAGAAAGGCTTGATGTGAAATGGTGAACTCAGAAAGAATGGGATCTATTATGAGTTAATTATTTCACCAGTTGCTTAATTGAAAGCTGATGCCATTCATATGAGTTATGAGTTAGGAAAAGTGGTTGTCAAGACATTTTCTTTAACCGGAAGTCTTGTAGGAATATCCACGGGGCAGCACCCAGAAGTTTTCAATGAAAAGGGATAAAGAGCACTTTGTCAGTAGGCTGACAAAGTCCATTTAAAGGACCGTGGTGGGCCGATCATTTGGTTGATAAGTTCGAATCGTGGATTTGATTATTCACCAAATGAGCATTTTGTGTGGCGCAATGGAAGCGTGGTGGTATTTTTGTACTATGCATAGACAACATCTTGATCACTGGAGACAGTGTGAAAACGTTGACAAACGCAAGGGTATGATTATCCAAGTAGTGGTACATGAAAGATTCGGAATCAAAAGATATTCTTGAGATTGAGGATCACAAGAAAGATATGTTGCGATTATCCCAAATTTTCATGTACAGACTGTCATAAGGCTCATTTTATTTGCATGATACAGAGGCAGTTCTTATGCATGGCAAGCCGAAGCCTAGTATATGCAATAGATGAGGCCTGATATTTATTTGCATGGTTAGTAAATATCGAAGTAATCCTAGATGGGAGCAATGGTTCATGGTAGGACATAAGATCAAGCACCGTAAAAGGGCTAAGGATAATATGTAAGGTTACCAGATGAACCATAAGCAACCTTTGGATTACAAAGGATTCTGATTTCTAATCAAACATGAACAACAAGTAAAAACCATCTTATGGTTTATGTTTACTTGTGGGTACCAAGCAGATTAGAGGAATGTCAAAGGGTGATGCATTGACGAATTCCACTATGAACTCAGTACGTCCCTTCCCAAATGGCGAGCGACGTAGAGATTGGATTTGCCATTGAACTAAAGATGTGAAACCTTGTCTGGCCAAGTCAGGTCACAATTTGATTGTGATGACATCTGGTGCGATTACAGACAGAGAGGAATCACTAGTTCATAAAGCAAGTGACACATAGAGCAAGTACGCCCGTTGCAAAGGACTGCGACAGGGTGGATGTTTGTCGCCTAGTTACATCGGTATACGACCAGGTAAATCCTTTTAGGATTGGCTTTCCGGTGAAAGCGGATGATGGCCATGTTAAAGGATTGGAAGTCGGATGTATGGCAGAAAGGACAACAGTTCTTTGAGGATTGAGATTGAAAGAGAATCGTGGTTAGCAATAGCCATGAGCTTATTGCGCATAAGTGGGAGATTGTTAGAGGTATGCTGTAAAAGCTCCAATTTGCAGATTCTATCAATTCCATTTTGATCTGGCCATCATGTTTCGGTCAAAGTACATATGCTTGCAGTTTATTTATTTATGCAATCATACTCCTTGTCTTGCATTGAGATAGTGTGGTTCGAAGTGTTTCGAACAGAAAGATCACCTATCGGTTCCTTGTAAGACTAAACTATTCGTTCACAGTCTAGACAGGCAGTGAGACTGTAATAACCCAATTTCTTGTTAGTGGAAATGATGTATTTTCTTTTATTAATCTCGTCCATTTTCAGCGTTTAGGTAAATAAGTTCAACTTTAAGTCGAAAAGTTTATTCGGTTAATTATTAACAGAGTCAAATTCGATAATTAATTTCTGAACCGTTTATTTTATAAACGGACCTTATTAATCGGGATTAATTATTAAATGTTAAGAATGTTCGGAACTAAGTTCGAAGTTAAAACCAAGGTTAAGTTGCAAATGCACACAAGGTGCATTAAGCGTGCACGCGTACGCACACGATGCGCGCAGCCGTACGCGTAGCCGCGCACACGAACACGCGCAGCGCGCATTGCCGCGCATCACGCATAGCGCGCGCGTCATTAGGCCCTAAGCACCCACTTGAGCAACACTTAGCAACATGATCAAGAAAAGCAAGCCCCAAATCCCCTTCCTTAAGATTGTCGTCCAAGAGTAACTTATGATAAGTGTTGGGTGTGCAAGTGGTGTGGTGAGTCACCTACTTGCTTGCACACATGGCGCAACACGCACGCACGGGCGATGACTAAGCCCGTGCATGCTTGACACCTCGGCCAATGACTCAGCCAAGAACGTCCCACCTCAGCCACGTTTGGGACACATGTAATCAAGGGAGGTGTTGTCATCTTTCACCTCCGTTGACCCAACTTCACCCTCGGTTTTTACTCCTTTAAATAACCGAGCATGTGGGACGTTTTCCCCATGCATTTTCATGCAACTTCAGCCCAACTTCAGCGTACCAAATAGAGAGAAAACAGTGAGGAAAAATAAGGGAAAAATCATACAAAAATAGCTCATCATTGCCGAAGTAAAAGGGAAGCAAGCACGCACGCACTCGAGCACCGGGTACGCACGCACATCACCGTGCGCTCTTCGACCGAACTGAAGGCTATACATTCCTTTACCCTCTTTTTATGTAGTTAAGTTCATATTAGCAAGATCATACTGATATCATGTCGTTCGGGCGAAGTTTTGTACGAAAATGGCCTCGAAGGTGCTATATAAGCTCCCTCCGAGTGATTTCAAAATCATACCGGCAAGTCCCGAACACTTTATGCATATTTAAGTAAGTTAAGTCAAAACATGATCAGTCATATGTGGGT